CACAAAATTAGCAATGTATTTCCACAGGGTTCTGTTTGGACTAATACTTTTTACATTATACATGTTCCTCTTAAGCAATATTATTAAAAAATGCACACAAAAACGCATACATTTTCATTGTGTTGCAGATGATACTGTGATTTGTTTGTAAATGAGCAGCAGCAGCCACTTGCACAATAAAGTCATGACACTCTGGCAGGTTGCCAGTACTGCTGGCTCATCGCAACTGACGTTTGTCTGTTTAGAGGCGGAGCCCAAAGGAAGACAGCGTCCCAGTGTGATTAGATATTTTAGACAGTGCAGGTTCCTGCGTTAAACAGAGTTACACCATGGCCGTAACATAAGTGTTGTTTTAAACCTTACTCATTTACAATTGGAAAATGTTTACTGAAATAATTATCAACAGTCATTGTTTGCTGTGTAGCAGTGGCAATACTGACACTGTCACCGGATTACTGCAGTGCAGTGCAGTCTTCAGAACTTGCCTTAGAATCTTGTAGTTTTAAAGATTTATTCAGTATTAGTCTGTTGTATAATATTACATAATATTTATGATTAACAGCACTGAGAAGAAAACAGAAAAATTGTTTCTTAGTCAACTGAGTAAACTTTATAAAATGTGAACAAATATAAAACATGCTTGTGCTGTTGCCAGATGGACACTCAGTGAAACGCAGCAGTACACATCTATGGAGGACCACAAATAAATAAATGAATAATGAATTGTAGAATAAAATGTGCATTTGTAAATTCATTTTTGAATTCCAATTTAATAAACTGATTTTTAAAATGCTTTTTAAGTCTTCATTTCAAAAAACATTTTCGAATTGCACTTCAACCCTTTAAGACCTACCATAGAACCAAGTCCGCCAGAGCTTATATTATATTTTTACATGCTGTAGTGCCATTTTTGGGAGCATTTCAAGTTGATATACAACAATACAACCATTATAGCCCAAATCTTAATAATATGTATGCATTAAGTGCATAGTAATTACATAAATTGCAAAAAAGTGCAATGAACTACAAAAAAATTTAAAATCGTTTTTGTTTTTTTAACATATATTTCTAGTTAGAGAAATTTAAGAGGCTTATCCTTCAAAACTATAAATACAAAAAAGTTGCACAAACTAGTTTCCCACCACAAGAAATTTATTTTGAGTGTCTTCATAGTTTTATTTTTGAAATACACCAATTTTCACATACTGCAGGAAAAACGAAAATAAATATTATAATGCAAATTTGCAAAAAAACAGCATATGCATCAAAATAAACTATTTCCAGCAGTGCAATATGAGTCCTAAGCATCCCAGAAATGACACAAAGTCATAAAGTCAAAAATAACTTTTAAAAACACCAGTATAGGCTCGTAAGGCCCTAATGGTAAAAAAATACATTTCCGCAAAATGACATCACTTCCGGTTTCGGGCAGGTCATGGCGGACATGCGATAGTTCTCGCTAATGGACGTAGGAAGTGTTACAAACGGCTGATCAGATCGGCAAAGCGTGTTTCTGGAATATTATGTTTTTGCTGCTGCAAGTGCTTTTTATGCAATTTTTGCAAAGCTATATGTGGAAGGGAACTGGGACCTAGGACAAGCTGATGGCATAAGACTCTAGCTTACGTGGTTGAAGTGCTACCGGGATTTAAAAATAGTTACGCAAAATGGACCGGCTTTAAAGGGTTAATAAACTTCATTTCAAAAATCTTTTTCAAATTGCACTTTAATAAACTGCATTTCAAAACCCTTTTTCGAATTGCACTTTAATAAACTGCATTTCAAAATCCATTTCCCTTTCCTGTTCGCACAGGGATTAACATGTGCATTAGCAGTAGGATTAGCAGTTGGATTAACAACTTCATTTTAAAAATCCTGCTGCTATTCAAATTAGCGACACCGTGGGATGTAAGGAGCTCTCTGATTGGTTGGTCAGACACAGCCTGGATTTTTCTAGCTCATAGCTTCGCCCTCCTAAGAAGCGTGTGCTTGTACAAAGGCTGTTCAGCCTCGGGATTTACACTCAGCTTGACGTGGATATGTGAAGAATGAAGGGACCCTGCAGCGAAACGGAGAGCCCAACCTCTGACTGAGTGCCTGTTTATGCAGTCTGACCACCTGTGAAGGTAACGTGCTAACATGGCTAACGCTAGAACCAGGTGGTATTCTCTGGAGTTTAAGACCAAAACTGAACTCAAACAGTGAATTGACATTAGATTGGAATTCATAAGATGAATAGAAATACTGCTGAAGCTGAATGATTTATTCATATATGATTTTTTTTTTCTCCAATTCACCAGGTCTGTATAGTTCAGTATGACTATGGCACATGATACAAAAGAATAAATACAGAAGAATAAAAACTTTATGTGAATAACTTTACTCTTCTTAAAAATAATTCATAATCATTCAGAGGCTGCAGAGTCCATCATCACTGAGGCAGTCTCTCCTGCATGAAGTCCAGGTGCTCCCATCTCCCAGAGGAGTCCAAACCGTCATCAAACAGCCCTACAGACACAAAAACGTGAAAATATAAACAACCAGACTATCAGCAGTGATTAAACTACTTTAAGACCTCTGTGAAAATCATTTACAATATATATCACAGAATTTAAGGCCTTTATAATCACAGAGCATACAGAGAAAAGTACTAAACTGAATCAATTTCAGCTTTTGTTTTTCATAATTTATATTGTATTAATAATTAAATTTCATTATCTGTATCTTTACCACACATTTGCCACACAGGTGTAGATACTGTAGGTTCAGTGAATGTTTACATTGCGCTAATTAGAATATACTGGACATTCAAAGCTAAGATTCAGCGCACTGTGTTAGAGGCTGGGATTTGATGAATTCATCATATATACAACCTTTGATCATCATTTATGTCCAGTTGAGAATGAATCTGTGCACTCACATATTAAATGAACTGAAATCAGTAGTGTGATCTCCAGTCTTGATATATTAAATGTGAGAACTGACAGCTGTTATTTTAATCACCCTGTCTCAGTTGTTTTAACTCTTAAGTATCACAAAGTAATGTGGTAACGTCTGGACTGACGAGTTTACTGTCAGAATTTTAATCGCTAGTTTAAAGGCTGTAGGCTGCAGCCGTTGCTCTAACACTGTATAAATGTAACAGGGCTCAGTGCTGGTACTAACAGTCTGAGCTGCTTCCAGCTTTGTTTGTGAAGAGCACAGCAGCTTACAAAACACATAGCTAGCTCTTACAGCTGCGACGTAAAATTTTCATAAGCTAAAATGAGCTTAAAATAACGGGGCTACGTGCGGTGATGCTAGCATTAGCCATGTTAGCACGTTACCTTCACAGGTGGTCAGACTGCATAAACAGGCACTCAGTCAGAGGTTGGGCTCTCCGTTTCGCTGCAGGGTCCCTTCATTCTTCACATATCCACGTGGAGCCGAGTGTAAATCCCGAGGCTGAACAGCCTTTGTACAAGCACACGCTTCTTAGGAGGGCGAAGCTATGAGCTAGAAAAATCCAGGCTGTGTCTGACCAACCAATCAGAGAGCTCCTTACATCCCACGGTGTGGCTAATTTGAATCCGGTTGTTCAGTCTGACGTCACTAGCCGTGTCTGGGTCTAAACTCCGCTGCAGGTCCATATATCAAACGATCACTACCCAGATAGCAAGGAGACATTGAACAGATGTTGATTTTCCATCTGAACCATCAGAATCGTCAGGATTGAAATGTCAACACAAAACCAATGTTGAAACAACATTGAAATACTGATGAAACCTGACACTGACATTGAAATAACATTGATTCACTGTTGTTCTGTCATCGTTGATTGTTGATCTATGTATAGTTGACAAGGTGACAACAATCACGTTGAAAAACCATCGATTTATGGTTGAGCGGGAAATTAAAGCTGCTACCACTTGGACTATTCCGCAGCACCCCTATCACATTGGTACATCCCTCCAGGTAACCATTGTCTTGTACAGTAGAGCGGGACATTAGATTTACTCTCAGCGGAATTGACCGGAGAAGGTATAAGTTCATGCACTGCACTGGCCTGCACCACGATTAGTATAAGGTAAGAATGAATGACTTTTGTTCTATTCGTTATTTCCACGGTTGCATTTGAATAACAGTAAAAAAAAAACAAAACAAACTTGTTAATGTAAAGTTTCGGATAAAATGTGGGAGCCCGAAATTGTGTCTACTTTCTTCTTACAATCCGGCAACAAATAAATTGCACTGCAAACAAAGTCTATCAACAAAGAAAACATTTTCGTTTCATACTTTTCCGTTATATTTCCTTACAAAGCTAGCTTTAACGCTTCGAGGGTTCCTTTGTTCTTGCCGTTGCCTCGGCGCTTGACCCAGACTTTCGCTCTGTAGTTGCTTTTTAGCATAGTACTACAAAAAATTTTAAATCTGTGATATATGATTGATAAACGTAAAGGTAACTGTATAAATGTGTTCAATGACTTTGTTACTTTTAATGATTGGAGAGCACCCGCTTCGATTCGCACTCAATTCAAACTTTACGCTGCACGCTCACCTAACTTGCGTTTGCACCTTTTGTCCACACGTAAACTGCGTTTAGCATTTACGTGTGGACGAGGAAGACGGAGAAAACGCAGCGTCAAAGGTGTGCGCCTATTTTGACGCCACACTGTGCGCCAAGTTTTTGTCTCGGTGCCATGAATTCCTACAATGGCAGACTTAGACAAAATACTGTTAATGTTATTATCTTCAGTGTTTAAATGCTTACATATACGGGTTTGCTTGTAATTGTTGCCTATATACATTTTAAGCTATTATTTATTATTTAGTTTAATCAATAGATCAAGTTTTGTAGTGACTATGAAATATATTGTAATTATCTGTTTCCTGTTTATCCTAGACAGGGCAAAAAAGGACTCCAAATTAAAAAAAAGATAAAAATGAAAGACTGGTGCATTGTTCAGCACTGGTGGTACAGAAATAGTCCCTAGTTCATGGATAAATGGGGAGAAATTGTCATGGCCTCCATATCCTCTGTGAGACACATTCAGGATCCACGATGCAGTAAAGAGGAGAGTTCATCCTGGTTCAACATGGCTCACCTATGCACCAGTCCGACTTCTAATAAGCCATGGTGGGTATCATCTGGATTGGTGTTGTATAAATGTAACAATAACAAGTTTTTCATGTCCTAATTTATGTCTGGCCATACATTGTGTTTGTACTTCCAGACACATTTCACAAAGCAGAACGCAGTCTTCAGAAATATCTAAGTGAACACTGTGATACGTCTGACCTTCAGTCCGAAGCTGAAACTCAGACCAGTCATAAAAGAAAGCACAAGTAAAACTTTTTTTATTTCACAAACATATCTTTGATTGCTAAGAATTTATGATCTTGTCTTTTGTACATATCTGTGGTGCTTGCATACTGCAATATCACCACATAATATAGTCCAAAAAGTGGAAGCTTGTAAACTTTTTATAAATGCAAAGCCGTGTACACTTGTGCACTTCAAAAATTCCTTGTATACTGTACCTTCTTGCACATCTCCGTTTCCTGTGTGTGTTGTTATAAATTAAACTGTAACTTTAGGAAAAAATATTCCAAAAGCACATTTGTAATTACTTATGACCGTTTTCAACTTTTTTTCTTTAGACCAAATCCCCTGTACACATATAGTGACTCAGAGGATGAGCAGCCCACAAAGAAATGGTTTCCCCAGGCCCCTCGAGTGAAAATACCAGGTAATAAAATACTGTCTAGTGTCTTTGTACATATCTGTGTGTGACACAAGGAAACTTTTGACAAGTTGTCTGTATTCTTAAATACTTAAAAAAAATTATCTTTTTCTGTCAGACCTGACGAGAGCTGTTAACGAACTCCGTGAGGAGGTCAGAGCCATCCGCAATACCGGCTGCAATGAATCGGTAGATGCTGGGGTACTGCCTCTGGATTTGCCCTTGCACAACATTGAGGAGCTAAACAATGCAGAGCCAGCTCTTCAATCACAAGAGGCAAATAAGGCAATGGTAAGTATATAAAGGTTATATACACTTTGTAACTATAAAGTGTAATAGCTGTCAGATGTGATTTAAATACATAACAACGGCTTGTTGATTAAACACACAAGCACTTGCATACACATTTAAGACATGAGACACGCTAATTCCATCTCTTAAAATGTGTCTATAGGTGAGACGCTTTGCCTTGATTGGAAGGACCACACTGGAGGTGCGAGTCCGCCGTGTAATGGCTTATGCCATTACAAACGAGCTGGCCTCGGTACTAAACTGGGCAGGGAAAAAAACCAAGGACCAGACAAAGCAAAAAATGGCATTTAAAGATACAGCGCTCTGCAAATGCATATTTGGTAAGTTTTACTGTTTTTTTGCTATATTACTTTGTCTTTCTTAATAACAAGACTTTCATGTCCGGTTAATCTGGAGATGGAGTCTTTGGTCTTTGGCTTGTTTAGTCCTCGGGTTGTAGTTTGTACAGCCCGAGGACCCCATGTTTATTTTGTTTTAAAGGATACATGGCACACCATGCTAAGACTTCTCACTTTTTCCGCTCATAGCTCTTTGGGAATCAAATGCGGCAGTTTGCAGATTTACGCCTGGTGACTTTCATGTTTATCAGCCTAGGAGTTTACATACTTTCTCCCCACTGAAGACAGTTAACAAGAGCTTATTCACGTGCTCTAATTCACTTTTTTTGTTTGTGTGTGTGTGTGTGTGTATTTTTGTCCTAGATGGCCTGACGCAGCAGTTAGGGGCAAACTCTATGTCCGAGTTTGTCTTTGCGCAAGCAGTGCAGAAATGGCTCCGATACGCCCCAGATCGTTTGGGTGGTGCAGGACGCACATCATGCATCCCCATCCCAGAGTAAAAAATTACAAACTTCTGTGAAACATATAAATGTAAATAGGAAACTGTCTTTTAATAAAGTATTTAGCAAACGAAACATGACTATTGACCTTTTATTTTTTCCTCTCTTACATCACATGCAATGCTTTCTTATTTTAGGATATTAATATTGACATGATACATTGTGAGACATTTGGGGGTTTTTTTTATAAAGGGTGTCCAATTTAAGGAATAAGTACAATTATGTGTTTAGGTGGTTTAAGTATTGATGGAAACATGCAGTAGTTTAGTATTGGTTAAAATACCTATAAAGAAAGGTAGATTTCCAGTCATGATTTAACTGTTGTTTTAATAAAAAGCAACTGTGCGAAAGAGGTGGAAAATCAACACCATAGCTCAACAGTGTTTCAATATCAGAATCTGACATTGTTTCAATGTCAACAGTATTAGAAAATACAACGTTGAATCAATGTCAGGTTTCAACATTGATTCAACATCAAAACCTGACGTTGTTTCAACGTTAAAAAAGGGTGCAAGAGTGACGTTAGGTCAACGTCACACTTCAACGTTGATTCAATGACACAGCCTGATATTGACTCAACAGTGTTTCAATGTTTCCTTGCTATCTGGGTATGGCATTACTGAGAGTTGAAAAACTGTCTAAAGTCTTTCATCTTTAATAAAATGATCAGCGTTCTGCTCTACCAGGTGTAACAATTGAGTTTAACATCCAGGCATCCATGAAAACGGAATTTATGACATTTAACGGAGTTAGAAGTTAGCAGGGAGTTAGCTCGCTAGCTTCTATCTAAATACAATATAGCATGTCCTGACTGCGGGGTTTTGGAAACAAATTAAAACGTACAGCTCTGCTATCTCTTCCAGCATAAATGAAGACAGAAAACTAAACAGCAGTGACGTTTGTAGGGTTACTGAAGTTGGGCTAGCTGGTATATAATGATGTGCTACGTGACCGCTAGCGACACAGCTATGTTAGCATAATATAAACAAGCTAACTTTTTTTCCACTCGATAAAAGTTAACATGAGTGTTCTCGGTGGTCAGGAACAAATGTAATCGCATGGCAGGATGCTGTAAAAGGACCAAACTTCAGCCAGGAGAACAACTGAGATAATCCATCCACAATACGAGGTTAGTCATTCTGCTGCATGGGCTGGGCTGTAGTCAAATCAAATCAAATCACTTTTATTGTCACATCACATGTGCAGGCACACTGGCACAGCACATGCGAGTGAAATTCTTGTGTGCGAGCCCCACAAGCAACAGAGATGTGCAAACACAACAACACAAACGAGCAAAATACAAGAATGGCCAACCTGAAACTAATAAATATATGTACAATATATAATAGTGTATGCATTTCTGGATGTGTATACTAAATATTTTCCTACGTGTGTGTGTGTGTGTGTGTGTGTATACACATTTTTACAAATTAAATAGTAAAAATAAATAAATAAATAATAATAATAATAATAATAATAATAATAATAATAAAATATATTAAATATACAGAGTTGAATATGTGCAAAACAAGTGGCATTTATATACAGTGTGGAGTGCATAATGTTGAAGTTCCAGTAGTGAAGCTGAGGTGTCTATGACGTGTTCAGCAGTCTGATGGCCTGATGGAAAAAGATGTCTCTCAGTCTGCTGGTACGGGACCGGATGCTGCAGAACCTCCTTCCTGATGGAAGCAGTCTGAACAGTTTATGGCTGGGGTGACTGGAGTCCTTGATGATCCTCCCCGCTTTCCTCAGGCAGCGCTTCCTGTAGATGTCTTGGAGGGAGGGAAGCTCACCTCCAATTATCCGTTCAGAGCACCGCACTACTCGCTGGAGAGCTTTGCAGTTGTAGGCGGTGCTGTTGCCATACCAGGTGGTGATGCATCCAGTGAGGATGCTCTCAATGGCACAGTGATAGAAGGTCCTGAGGATGCGGGGGCTCATGCCGAATCTTTTCAGTCTCCTGAGAAAGAAGAGGCGCTGCTGCGCCTTCTTCACTGTTTTGTTTGTGTGTACTGACCACGTAAGATCCTCAGCCAGATGTACTCCAAGGAACCGGAAGCTGCTCACTCTCTCCACAGCAGCGCCGTTGATGGTGATGGGGGTGTGTACTTCTCTGCACCTCCGGAAGTCCACTATCAACTCCTTTGTCTTTGCGACGTTGAGGGTGAGATGGTTGTCTTGACACCAGTGGGTCAGGGCGCTGACCTCCTCCCTGTAAGCCGTCTCATCACCGTTGGTGATAAGACCCACCACTGTAGTGTCGTCCGCAAACTTCACAATGATGTTGGAGCTGTTAGTGGCTGTGCAGTCGTAGGTGTAGAGTGAGTACAGGAGAGGGCTCAGTACACACCCCTGTGGAGCACCAGTGTTCAGTGTGATGGGGGATGAGGTGATGCTGCCTAGTCTGACCACCTGGCGTCTGTCAGACAGGAAGCTAAGGATCCAGCTGCAGAGGGAGCTGCTCAGTCCTAGATCCTGCAGTTTCCTGTCCAGCTTCGAGGGAACGATGGTATTGAATGCTGAGCTGTAATCTACAAACAGCATCCTCACATACGTGTCTCTCTTCTCCAGGTGTGACAGGGCAGTGTGTAGTGTCAGGGCTATGGCATCATCAGTGGACCTGTTGTGGCGGTATGCAAACTGTAGAGGGTCCAGTGAGTCGGGTAGTGCAGAGCAGATGAAGTCCCTGACCAGCTTCTCGAAGCATTTGCTTACGATGGGGGTCAGGGCTACAGGTCGCCAGTCGTTCAATGAGGAGATGGTGGAGGATTTGGGTACAGGGACGATGGTGGTCATTTTGAAGCAGGCTGGGACTACAGACAGAGAGAGGGAAAGGTTGAAGATGTGCGTGAACACTCCAGCCAGCTGAGCCGCGCATGACCTGAGGACGCGGCCGGGAATCCCGTCCGGACCAGTAGCTTTGCGTGCGTTCACCTTCCTGAAGCACTTCCGCACATCCTCCTCAGACACAGTGTGCGCACTGACGTCATCCGCGGTGCGCACACTGTCCGGTCTCATGGTGTTCGCTGTTACATCCTAAGGTTTTAAAAAATGATTAGCGGTAATAAAAGCCGAGAGAGGTCAACAGTGATCACTGACTGTTTTAGGAGCTTTTTGAGATCAAATAGAAGAAAATACATAACATTAAACATGTTAACAACACAAAAGCCATATTAAACGCAGACTACTTTAGACCCGGAAGTAGGATTCGCCGCGTCATCACTGAACGACCGGATAGCAGCAGGATTTTTAAAATGAAGTTGTTAATACAACTGCTAATCCACATGTTAATCCGTGAGCGAACAGGAAAGGGAAATGGATTTTGAAATGCAGTTTATTAAAGTGCAATTCGAAAAAGGTTTTTGAAATGAAGACTTAAAAAGCATTTTAAAAATCAGTTTATTAAATTGGAATTCAAAAATGAATTTACAAATACACATTTTGTTCTACAATTCATTATTTAAGCACAGAATTTTTTATTTCGATGCGTGTGGCTCTTGTGGTCCTCCATACACATCTGGCTGCAGTGCTTCACTCACTGTGGGTTCAGGTTCCACTGTAATAGTTGGTCTACATGTTACAGGTTCTATGAATAGACAGTCTGTGGAGTGGACAGGAGCAGATGTGCAGGCTGTCTTTTTATAACACAATGTGCCAATGGTAAGCAGCTCATTTGTCTGATCTGAAAATTTACTTCAAATTCCCTATATATATTTATAGCCAAATCACACCACAATCTATTAGTTGATTCATATTTTATAATAATCTATTTCTGCTACATAGAAACGGTGCTTATACAGAGTTTGTTTTAAAATATTTTCCCTTTTTTTAATATATATTTTTTTTAATTTTTTAATGAATAAATCAAAAGTCTCTATGACAGAGTTGATCTTGGTTACACATCAGTGACTTGCTGTCTTGAGGATGTGCAGACTTTTTCCAACAGTTTTCCAATTTAACTACATGTGATATTTCTGCTGTGCACTGGATGTACTGACTTATCAGTGGCTTCACTTTGACAGTATGTTTCATGTGTTTTCTGCAGACTGAGCAGCTTTTTGTTGACAGGTTTAAATATCTCCATTTTGGCCAAAGATATACAGTAATTGCTAGGTCCCAATGCACACTTCAAACTAGCAGCGCAGCCAAAGCAGACACTCTTGTGTCTGATGGCTTCTTTGTGAATGTGGCTTCTGGGTTGGTGAATATACTGCGCCCATGAACTGAAACTATTTGCTCAGATGATTTTTTTTTATCACACTACAGAAAAAACTATTCCATATCCCCTCACCTGACAAGTCCTATTTGACCTCCTGGTTATACTCTTAAAAAAATGTATCTAAATAAGTCCACACATTCCAGGTGTGGTATTTATGTTGCCAATCAGTAATGTAGGCTAGATAAAATAGAACTTTTTTTTAAATACGTATGTGTTATTGTAGGGTCTACCTTACAATATCAATGTTCTTGTGATTTGGCTCTGTATCAATAACATTTAAAATTGAATTCTATATAATAGAAGTTCAACGCTAAAAAAACCCAATAAAATTTGAATTCAGACAACATTTTTTAATCACGTGAGTTTCAGTTTTTTTTTTGTATGAAACTAGCTGTTAGAAGTGTCCTCCAAAGAACTACTTTTTACTTTGACTATATTTCATAGCCTGTTTTTTTCTTTTAATTAAGTTTTTTTTTTTTATCAATATCTGTATTTTAACTTAAGTGTACTTTCACCACCTCTGCACAGTAACATTTAAGACATCTGTGGTGTTTCCTACCCTTTCCTGCCTTATCCTTTTCTTACTCAGAACCATGATCTCCGTTTGCTTTGATTGTAGAGAGTACCAAACAAATCATCAGTATATTTTATGTCTCATAGGCTATAATAATAATTTTTACAATATTTAGTCTGGCTAATTAACCTGCAACATAAAAAGGTGCCAAAATCACCAGTTAAATCTGAGAGTAAAAATAATCTTCAACCCTTTGTCTTTAAA